TCACGCTTGGACTGGGCAACATGGACACACATGGACTGGGCAACATGGGCACGCTTGGACTGGGCAACATGGACGCACATGGACTGGGCAACATGGACACGCTTGGACTGGGCAACATGGACACACATGGACTGGGCAATATAGACACGCTTGGACTGGACAACGTGGACACACATGGACTGGGCAATGTAGACACGCTTGGACTGGGCAACCTGGACACACATGGACTGGGCAACAGGAATGAGAATGGAGAGATTTTTCCCGGCTTTTGTACATTCCATGAAATGGTGATAGGAGGAAGCACACACTATTCCAAAAAGCGACACATGGGTCTCACCAGACAATTAAACAAAGCGACATGGGTCTCACCAGACAATTAAACAAAGTGACATGGGTCTCACCAGACAATAAAACAAAGCGACATGGGTCTCACCAGACAATAAAACAAAGCGACATGGGTCTCACCAGACAATAAAACAAAGCGACATGGGTCTCACCAGACAATTAAACAAAGAGACATGGGTCTCACCAGACAATTAAACAAAGCGACATGGGTCTCACCAGACAATTAAACAAAGCGACATGAGTCTCACCAGACAATTAAACAAAGCGACATGGGTCTCACCAGACAATTAAACAAAGCGACATGGGTCTCACCAGACAATTAAACAAAGCGACATGGGTCTCACCAGACAATTAAACAAAGCGACATGGGTCTCACCAGACAATTAAACAAAGCGACATGGGTCTCACCAGACAATTAAACAAAGCGACATGGGTCTCACCAGACAATTAAACAAAGCGACATGGGTCTCACCAGACAATTAAACAGAGACACAGAGACAACCGAATTCACCACATTACTATATGCCGAAACTGGAGAAGCATATTACAAGACTTACGAACCCAAAAGAGGACAATATAGTGGGTGAGACCACCATCGGGTGGTGGTCAAGCTAAAAAAAAAAAAATTCGCAAACCACGCCGACGAAAAACAAACCAGAGAGCCATTTCCAGATTTGACCTAGACAAACTCCATAACACACAGATAAAACACGACGTACAGCTAACCCTTAAAAAAAAACCGATTTGCTGTACTAAAACTGTGTGAAGCTGAAGAAAACATAGACATAACTACTGTCTTATAAACCCGCCCTGTTTCCCCCTCAAGTGGTCATCATATGCTTCTTTAATTCTGTTGAGAAGAATTCTGCTAAAGGCTGAAGACCTTACTCGGTACAGATTGTGATTACTCGCCTGTATAGCCATACTATCGCACAGACTTCAAGACATACAAGAGAAGATCCCACCTTTGAACCAGTCTGTAAAAAAGAAAGAGTGGAGCTTAAAATAAATCACCAGAAAAAAAAATACTATAAAAAAATAAACCACAAACAAGATGGCGACATAAAACGAGAGAATAGAAACATAGATCAAGTCGATAGCTTCATGCTATATAATATGTGTGGTCAATGTGTCTGGCGGAATAGACGAAGACATCAAACGCCATATAACTTTAGCATTACAGGCATATATGCCAGCCTAAAACCCGTCTGGAAATCATCCTATATCTCCATCCAAACTAAATAAGAATATTAAACTTCAATGTGAAAGCTGTCCTATTGTCTGAAACATGGTGAAGACAGAAACTGTCACAAACATAATCCAGACCTTCATCAACAGATGCCTGAGAAATATATTGAAAACTCATTGATGTGATAAGGTTGAAGACATCAAGTTGTGGGAGATGTTTGGATAGAAAACAATAGAGAAACAAATCCTGGAAAGAATATGGAGATGGATAAGACACTAACAACGGAGCTAGACAGTCTCTAGAATGGAACCCCCAGGCCCCGGGCAAATGACACAGAGGAAGGCTCAAAAGGACATGGAAGCGAAGTGTGCTGGTTGAGACTGAGAGAACAGGAAAGAGCAGGGGAGACCATGAAGAGTAGCATGCTTTGACAGAGAGCCTCTGCTCTACAAGGAACTCAAAGGACAAACAATGATGATGATAAATGACTCTATTTTTTCACACATGTTAGACACCCATATAATAAGATCGTCACAATATCATGATACTCGCACCCCCCCCCCCCGAAGCCCACCCCCCACGCACAAAACAACAAACAACATGCATGGCGTAATATTGGATGGCCCTTACAAGTTAAGAGTAACAAGNGGGGGGGGGGGGGGAGAGGAGACGTGAAGATCCGCCAAGAACTGTGCGTTATGGGAGAAAACATTTTCATTTTGCTGGTTTCTGCAGCAACTATTATTCAGTTCAATTATATTGATATCCGATACGAACACTGTCTACATCGAGACGGTGAACACTCTAGTACACGAGTCTCAAACTCGCGGCCCACAAGACGATATTTTGCGGCCCGCCACACGACAGCAAAGTTTAGTGTCATGCGGCCCGCGAGTTTTTCCCATTCTTGTAATCCTTCGCGACGGTTTCAGTCTAATCTCACCGACTAGTCTAATTCTGATTTTTATTATATTTGTATAGAATTAGACGTTGATTATAATGGTAAAAACCGTTTCAAAACTGGACTAAAAGTATTTCTTTTGTAGCATTTTATGAGACAAACATGGTCAAAGTGTGGTTTTGAGAAAAGTTTAAAATGTCAGTTAGTGGGTAATGCCCAACCATAATTGTGTAAATCAAATATCAATATCAAAGAATCCCTATTAAAATTGCCCCTACTGTTAACGAGTTAGGGAAATTCCGAGCATGTGAGCTTGGTTCCATTTCAAAATAGGGCTAGTCAAAAAGTCCTTTTCTACGATAAAAAAAAAATCAAAATTCATTCTTCACATTAATAATTCATAAATATTGCCTGTTCCTGCCTACTGTCTGAACACATTTTATAAGCATCTTCAGCCTTCATGAAGAAGGATGAGGTGGTTTTTCCTGTACTAAGTGATCCCAAATGGCTCATAGACTTGGCTTTTCTTGTTGACATTACACTGGAGCTGAATGTACTCAACAAGAAGTTACAAGACTTGTCAGTGTTGCCTATATGACAATGTCAGGGCATTCGGTACAAAACTTGTGTTATGGTTCTTAAAGAAACCTCTGCCATTTCCCAACATGAAAAATACCCATGGATTCGGGAACACCATTCAGTAGTGAGTATATTGATGGCATTGCAAAGCTAACGGAAGAATTTGATCACATGTTTTTAGACTTTAAAACACAAAGAGTCACTTTTCAACCTTCTGCTGATCCTTTCTCCTTTATAGTGGAAGATGCGCCCCACCTCCCCCCACTTGCGCTTCAAATTTGAGCTGATTGGTCTTCAGTGCCATTTTAAGTTCAGGGAGTAAATGGAGAAACAGACAAGCTTGGACAATTTATGAGAGCATTGCCCTCCACCCTCACTGAGGTTTCCAGGCTGCTCCAGCGGATCATGTGCCTTTTTGGTAGTACCTATCTGTGTGAAAAGCTCTTTTCCCACTATGAAATTTAACAAGTCAAAGTTCAGGGCCAAACTTATTGATAAGCATCTTCAAGCTATACTGAAGGTCTCAGTTGCTTCCTCACTCAAGCCAAACGTTGCTCAGCTGTGTAAGAAGAAGCGCTACCAGGTTTATGGCAACTAGGAGAAAACGAAAGAAAGTGAAGCCTAGTTCTTGAGAAACCTTAATTTTTATTATTTTTTTTATTTATAAAGGTTGAGGAGATTGTAACAGCTGTACTTTATTGAATTTGTCATCGCTTTTTTTTTTTTGTTGTTGCGGCCCAGTCTCACTCAGACTCTACCTCCTGCGGCCCCCGGATGATTTGAGTTTGAGACCCTTGCTATAATATGAACATACTTAGGTAAATATTTTTTTTTTTTTTTTATTTATAAAGGCTGAGGAGTTTGTGGGGGGTGTACTTTATTGAATTTGTCTTTTTTTTTTTTTTTTTTTTTGTTGATGCGGCCCAGTCTCACTCAGACTCTACCTCCTGCGGCCCCCGGATGATTTGAGTTTGAGACCCTTGCTATAATATGAACATACTTAGGTAAATCAACACGCTTATAGTGTGTATGTTAGTTTCTTTCAGGAGAAATACATTTACAGATAAAAAGGAAACATTGTCAGTCTTTAAAAAATCCTTTATATAATATTAACTTCGCTTTTATTCGTGTTTCTTTCTTTCATTGTGGTGGAACACTCTTCGGAAGGCTAACTGACCAACTTCCCGTCACCATATCGAGCTGAAACTTGGCACAGACTAGTTGCCGATGAAAAAAGAAATATTTCACATTTTCAGCTCCACCACACCCCTAACCGCCAATAATAAGTTTTTCAAGGGAATGCTAACTGACCCACTTTCCGTCATTCTATCGACCTGAAACTTGCCAAGTAGACTCGTTGCTAATGACAACACATTCTCTAAAAATTTTAGCCCCACCCCAACTCCTAAAAATCAGCTTAGCCTGCTTTTCAAAAGTGGGGGGGGGGGGGATAAAAAATTTTTTTTCATTTGGGGGGTGTTTTGGGGATAAAAATTATTTTTTCATTTGGTGGGTGTTTTGGTGTGGAGATTAATTGTGTGCTTTGTATTTGTGACGTATTTTGGGTATTGGGGATGATGCTGTTTGTTGTTTATTATATGTTATGTCTTTTGCTAATAAGTGTAATGCAGAGAATTGACTAAAAAGACTGAATAAAAACGATGTTCCTTATTTTCGTTAAACACGAAAAATATTTTTTTTAAATATTAGCCAATTATATTAATTAGTCTTTTAGGTTTGACAAGCACGAAGTTTGATACACCCCAAACCATTTCCATACCAAACCATTTCCATACCAAAGATCTGTTGCTACAGTCACATAAATGATTTTTTGTTTAAATGCATATAAAGAATTTATACGAAAAACGTTGTTTAAGAATTTTTTTTTTCATTACGGTTACTTTTGGCTTGTGCCTAATTACTTGGTCTTTGGGAAACTTTCGTTTTGATCATTTATCAGTTAACCGTAAACATAGTTACCGGAAGTGGGTAGGCTACGGTAGGCCCTAACCTAACTGTGTTACTGTGTTATTCCGTGCACAGGAGAATTTAACGTTGCTGGTTAGGACCGCGCGTTCTTTAATTATAAATTAAACCAAATCTACTGGAATCAAGTGTTTCACAATTAAAAGAATTTCAAGTGTTGGTAATTTAATAGAGTTAAAATATAAAAAAAATGCAGTAGGCCTAATAATGTAAGTGGTGCAAAATTTCATTAAAATGAAAATGACTAGATCTATGACTCATGACAAAATCAGTTTAATTATTTAATAACAATCATATTGAACAATGAATGAAATATTTAATTATTTCGATGATCAATGTTTGAGATATTATGATATATTGTTTTGATAATTCATAACCATATATTATTATGATATTAGGGCCTATATGATACTAATAAAACGAAGGTCAATTTTGGGCCCAATGCAGTTAGTGACAGGGCCGGAGGTGTCTTACAGTTACACTACTTACACTCCAGGGGTTTAAGTTTAAAAGTCATGGAGGTTACCCAGTCAACTACTGGCCATAGTTCCATTTGTCAAAAAAAATTCGAATTATACTTTTAGCACAGAATTTATTTGATAGCCTGAACTGATAGCTTTTTTTCTTCTCATTTTGTAATTTTGTCTTGAAAAAAGAAGGGGTGGCCCATCCCCATATAAATATACTATTACTATTTTATTTCTTATTTTTTAATTGAAATTGGGGGAAGGGTTGGGAAGGTTGCTCCCCAGAAGATTACTTTAAAGATGATGTGTTCTTATGAACAATATCTATTTGCGCTGAGAATTTTATTAAATCAGCTTAATTCATTTAAATGGCATATTGTATATTTAAAAATGCAATTAGCTATGTTTCTATGTTGCTCTTACTCTTACGTTCATATTGACTCAATCCAATACTTCTGAAAATTTCAGTGCAATGCTAGCTTTATTTGTTTCAAAATTATGTATGTAATGTACAAATGTATCAGCTATGGTTCCAGGGATTTTGAGCAGGCTTTTTTCTTTGCCCAGCTCCGTGCCGAACAAATTTTAGTCAGCTTCGTTCCAATCTCCTGAAAATTTAAAAGAGGTAGGGAATGCTGAGAGGGATACTAAGTATTGAAAGAAATGTGTTTATTATTGTCAATAACCCATCTTATTAACCAGGCAATAGAAATGCATGTACCTTAGACCTTAGTACGAGCAACTTAGCTGTAGTAGAGTGGAGCAACATATTTGTAAACGAGTGGGACAACATAGATGGTAGAAGAATAGGGCATCAATTTTAATAGATTAATTTTTAAACAAAATTTTAAAAGTTGAGCTTGTGGCCGTAAAAATTTTAACAGCTCTAGCAAAAATCCTCCCTTAGGAAAAAATACCCTACTCCAGAGCTCCAGCTCTGCAAGGTCCCTTATATTAATTTGTAAAATCTTGATGTAAACTGTAAATTAAATTTTTTTATATTTATAAAATACTTTACTGTCAAATGGACACTATATGTTTCTACTAAAAATTTCAGAATGATAGCTTTATAAGTTTAATAATTGTCACTTTAAGAAAATAAAATTTTTGACCTCTGTTTTCATTGTACTGTCACCTCCTTATAAGATCATATTTTCCATTAAAAAAAATTGTAATTCATGTGTTGTGTATGTTTTGTTCAGCAATGTTTTGTAAATGTCTCCTCAGAATATGGTTGCTGTAGTGTATATTTAACTAACAATAATAAAAGTTACCTAAAGAATTTGAAAAAGTTAATTAAACAATCACAGTAATTACATTTAAATACAAAGCCATAATAAAAGCTTTATGGTCACATTGAAATTACTGTGTCATCTAACTTATATTAAAAAAAGCTTAAATTGTCCTAGCTGTAAGATTATTTGATGGAGGAAAGTGTTGGGGCAGAGCATTTGCACAATTAGATTCTGATGAAGTCGGCAGGCGGTAGTTAAGTTCTACTTTTTAGTTTTCAGCCTGGGTAAAGGATTTTGTAAGCATTGGCTGTTTTAAAAAAATACTTCTTTTGTGGATAATTTGCAGATTAAAATTTGTATACTATAAAGTAGAAATTTAAAAAAATATTTTAAAAACCTTTAAACAAATTTTGTACGGAAATAAAGTCTGTGCAGAAAATATTTTTAAAATTAAAAGAAAAAACATTTAAATATAAGTTTCTTCTTTTAATTAGAATCCTTTTGCTTCATAGAGTGCCTAACTACCCTTCTGCACATAATTTCTTTGTGTAACAAATTTTAAGAAAACTATTTTCTACTTTTTTGTTTTAGTTTTAGTGCATTTAAACTTGTCTACAAAAGTCTTTAAAAAATTTTTTTAAAATATTATTTTTATTAAAGATGCATAACTATTTTTTAAAAATCTTTTATTATTTTCCAGAAACTTAATGACCTGTGAGCCCTCAGTGGAGCAATCTATGAGTATCATTAGCAGAAAGTAAAAATGAAGACGTGGACATTGCAACTATATCTCATTTATCTGGCACTGGTTCCTTCAAAAAGCATTGAAATTTATTTAAATTCACATCTTCACTGTGACAAAACACTTGAAGTAACTCTAGAGAAAACCTACCTGGTGAGAGCTGATGTGAGCCCTGATACAGAGACAAGCACTTTCCGTGACTGCGAAGTTGTTTTTCACGCACAGAATGTGAATGGTCAGCTCTGTATCGTCCAAGAAGGTGAACTGAGTATGATCAAAGACAGCAATGTTGAATTTCAAGCATATGATGGTTTCGGGGATACTGCTGAAAATATTTTTACCCTAGAGTATTACCCAAGCGTATGGAACTATAGGGAGCACTGCACACAGTCATCTTATATCACACTGTATCTCCGAAGAAAAAATAAGAACATCAAGGTGAATATCCAGAATATTTGGATAAATTTCCATATTATTGACATAGAGAGTAAAGATCGTAGGCTGTACATGGATGATGATTACTACTGCTCTGTTACTTACCACCTTCATAATAGTTGGGTGAGTGTTTACAACAGACAAAATGAGGCCAAGCATGTCACTGTAGACAAATGTGGTTTGCGATTTGAAAAAGAAACGGGTAGAAACACAAGTATTTGTTTCCTTTACACTCCAATGGAGAGTGTAAAATACAGCAGGGATTGGAATTTGTCTGTGTCCAAGGAATTTAAACTTGCAGCAGAATATATTATATACCAGCTGAAATGGGATGATGCTAAGGCTAAAGAAACTCATGCCTGGTGTGCAAATGGCTCAATAGACTCACTTGTTCTTATTTTAGAACGCACCGGAAAGAATTTCTCACAAGAACCGAAACAGATGTTTCAAGTCATAGCCACAGATCACAGTGGGACTGAAGAAAGTCTAATGCAATCGCTTAAACATGATAATGAAAATGACTGTAGTTATGTATATATTATTGTTGTAATTCTTGTCATTGTGCTGATGATTGCATTTGTTGTGCTATTCAAGATGAAAAACCAATTGTTTAAAAAAATGTTCTTTGGTGAATACACCCGTGCACATAACCCTGGAGGAAAAGAATCCAAAAAATCAGAGTTTAATCTCTGAACTGTCGCATTTATTTTTATGAGCCATAAAATTAAGAAATGCATTACATTTTTTAAAATGATTGTTCATTTCCCTCTATTACATTTAACAGGAGTTGAAAGACACGTGTTCCCCAGTTGGCAGTCAGCTGTTGAAAAATGCCTCCACTTGAAAAACTACCATTAGAGAAACTTGTGCATACCGTGTATTATATTTCTGTTCCCTTAAATTTCTCATATAAACCAATGGTATGCTCTGCCAACTACTTTATCAAACTCACTTCTCAGGGAGAGGCCCTTGAGGAAGAAAGGTTATTTGAGAGCACTTTATCATCACTTTACTTGTAGGTTAGATCACATTTGCCACAACTGATTGATTTGGTGCCTAGTGTTGTTTTGAAGTAAAAAGGAATATGCTTCTGTTACTGTGCGGTTATTATTAAACAAAATGAGTTACAGTACCGTAATGGTGAGAATAGTGTAACAAATTAAAATGGTCAGATTGCATATAATGGTTGTTACCCGGTATATATTAATATAATTTAGCAATTATTTTGCCTCCCTAAAGTTAAGGACTTTAAAAAAAAAAAGAAAAAACCACTTACGGAAAATATTTTATTATTTTATGCAGCTAATACTTAAATAAGAACCAAACAAAGGGGTTAAAGAAAACTTGATCATGTAATTGTTAAAAGAAAAGAGTTTTGAATATAAATGTAAAAATATTAAATAATACTTTGCTTATCTCTGCTAAAAAATTTGACAATGTTTCAGTCCAACCGGCTGAATCCCGTCACTGAATATTTATCTGACTAGAGACTCTTGCCCAAAGAAATTCCCAACAGCTTGCAGGGTGTGTATATAACTATGTGTTGTGTACATTTTAATGCACACAATTTATTTGCATTTGGTTGATGACCCCTTTGCATTTTTTTGTTGCCCTGAAGGGTTTAACAACATTCTTATTTTATTCAACTGATAGTTGAAGTCAGAATTTTTGTATGTGTACACATTTGTATAGCTTTAATCAATGTTGGTTTATTGCAAGATAAAAGCTATATCTATTAATGAGTCGTCCATCATTATATTTATCTAAATATACTTGTATAATGTATATACATTTTTTCTGATTTTTTAAATAAATTTGATTATGACATGTGTATGGCGTCATTAATTAAAAGGATTATGTCTGTATATTTTGAACAAAGGTAATTAATTGTCAAATAAGAGACTTATATACCTAATATATTTTATTTCTTTACATTTATTTTTTATGTAGCATTCCAATATATTTTGAGCATTTTAATTTTCTCACTTTTATTTGGAGAGCAAAGATCAAAATGGTATTTTTTTTCCATATTGCACTGTGCAGTCTTTGCACAATAGCCTTTGAGTATGTGTTGGGATCATTTGTCAAATTACAACAATGCAAGCCAAGATTTTTTTTCTTTTTTTATCATTGTGCACCACTAGCCGCCCTACATTTGATGGTTATTATAGTTTTGCTTACCTTGACCTGCAATATTATAAGGACTTGTGTTTTTAATAAAGTAAAAGGTACTTTGATGGCCACATTCTAGCATTGATATTTTGTCGTCACCTAGAATGGTACATGCATTGTTTTGTTATAATTGTAGGAAATGGTTTTAGTCAACGAAACAACAAAGAAAACTGTATATGATCCCTTTTTTAAAAATCAACAATATTAAGTTGTAATTTATCCTTTACAATTACTTCTTGTCATTTACAATTAACCCCCCCCCCCCCCCCCTTTTCCTCCCAAAAATCCAAATCCCCATTGGGAAATAGACTCATATAAGCATTTTAAAAGCCACTTGAGTTGCGTTGTCTGATTGTCCACAAATATAAAAATGGAAAGTGAATCATCAGGCTTTACAAAGGCATGAATTGTTACTGTAGGCATTTGAACTAACTTGTAAGATAATTGATTTTGTCGTTTGCTGTCCTTTATTGGGAAGCCATAGATTTTATCATGAAAATAAAAAGTGTTTGTCAATAAGCAGTTAATTTTTTTCAACTGATCAATTATTCAAATAGATTGTAAGCTTTTTTGGGGGGTGGGGGAGGGGGGGCATTTTTACTTGTATATCAATTTGCTGATGAAATTGTGTTTATTTTTTTGTATCCTTTTTATTTGTTGGATGGATGTGTTTTACCCATGTAATATGTTCAGTGGTTGATTATGGTATATAATATGTTCAATTTTTAGATTATGTAATGTGATCAGCAGTTAGATTATGTAATACGATCAGTGGTTAGATTATGAAAAGTTAACAGCAGTCAGATTATGTAATATGACCAGTGGTTAGATTATGTAATGTGATCAGCAGTTAGATTATGTAATATGATCAGTGGTTAGATTATGTAATATGATCAGTGGTTAGATTATGTAATATGATCAGTGGTTAGATTATGTAATATGATCAGTGGTTAGATTATGTAATGTGATCAGGGATTAGATTATGTAATACGATCAGTGGTTAGATTATGTAATGTGATCAGCAGTTAGTTTATGTAATACAATCAGGGGTTAGATTATGTAATGTGATCAGCAGTTAGTTTATGTAATATGATCAGTGCTTAGATTATGTAAAGTTATCAGCAGTCAGATTATGTAATATGACCAGTGGTTAGATTATGTAATGTGATCAGCAGTTAGATTATGGAATACATCAGTGGTTAGATTATGTAATGTGATCAGTAGTTAGATTATGTAATGTGATCAGCAGTTAGTTTATGTAATACAATCAGGGGTTAGATTATGTAATACGATTAGTGGTTAGATTTTGTAATTAAAAAGCTTAAAGTTTTCACTTTCACCCCCTTCCCCCCACTCTAAGACCAGCACACAATATATATACTACCAAACTATTCTCAGGTACCTTAAACTTACAAGGAACTTGTTGGGAAAACTGGAAATGTTTCATAGACCAGGTAGAGTGAACAAATTACAACTTGGCTGAATCCTTCCAGTAATTTTTTTAAAATTGTGTACTTGTCCTCATTATTTTGAATGAGATTAGAAACATTGATGTAAATACATTTAACCCATAAATGAATTAAATGGCAATTCTTTTTCATTGCTCATGTCAAGATAGATTTTTTAAATAACTTCCTTAAGAGAATGCTTAAAAGAAGTTCAAATATGTTGTTATTTTTAAATTAATAAAGTCTGCAAAGGGAAGCAGTGTTATTAATACATTTGTTTGATAATTCAACTGGTGTATTTTAATTACTGTGTGTATGTAAGCCTACCCAGTTTGTAATGTTGCTTGTTTATTTTGTCATCACACAATCCCTCACCCACACTTCAATTAAATTCTATTCTTCGTAGTCTTCATCCATTTTTTTTTTTCTCAAACCCCCCCCCCCCCCCCGTATGTTATCTTTGTGACTTGAAGAAATCTATTCTGATCAACTTTTTAAATTTTATTATTAAAAATAGTATGGCTTCATAAAGATTTACTCCATGACCAATAGCGCAGTATAACTTATAACAGTAGTATAAAAGGTAAAACAATCACAGGGCCCACTCTGTAGGGTGGGTACCAGTATTACTATTTAATTTCCTGCCCACCTACTCTTATGGCAGCCACACTCCCCTGATTTGCTGGAATTACAGGCCGACATCATCAAACAAAATAAAACACCTGAACAATCATTGCTATAAATAGAATTGAGCCTCTCTCTCTCTAACTCTATTGGCACATAAAACTAAAGAGGTTTAATCGGCGTTGGATTTACCCATAAGTTTACTAAGCTAAAGCTTAAGGCCTCAAAAATATAGGGCTGGTTCGTAAATTACGTCATGCAAAAAATGATCTTTTATGTGATTTTCAGACTCCACCCCCCCACCCCTTTTAGTGTCGCGACACACCTAAAAAAATTCAAATCATACAAAAAATGTTCATAACTAAATTAAGATTTTAGTTTATTCTGTAACATGCCCCATAATGGATTAAGATGTTGCTCAATGGTGACAATTTGATGTATTTGTTCATTCTGTGAAAATTCCGGCTCAGAGTTCTCAAGTTATGTAGTAGCTATTGTCATCTTGTACACTATACGTATCAATCCATTCAGCTGTCTCCAACCCGGCAGGGTCTTCCATGACTGATAGCTAGCAACTCATTCTGCTCTTTACATTTTTGGTTTGTTGATTTGCGAGGTTTCATTTTTTGGCCTTCTTTCGGCTGACTTTTTGTGTCTTCTTTCGGCTGACTTTTTGTGTCTTCTTTCGGCGGACTTTTTGTGTCTTCTTTCGGCGGACTTTTTGTGTCTTCTTTCGGCTGACTTTTTGTGTCTTCTTTCGGCTGACTTTTTGTGTGGTTATTGAGCAATGTTAGTGATGCGAAAAAAAAGATTGCACTTGCTGCAGATTCTCGACTCGAGGACGTCCTTGATACTTGGGCAATGCTGGTTATAGTTATAGGGAGTATTTTTTTGGAGACATTTGTATACATTGGAACAATGTTGTAAAAGCGTGATTTTCGTCACGTGATTTGTCATCCGGTGTATTGGAATCGACGAATGGATTGTAACTTAGTCCAACTGGAGCAGGGAGGAATCTTTCATTGAAAAAAATTCTCAGGAATTTTCCCCGGGGTTCTGAGCAGCAATTTTTATCGAAGCATTTTGAGATTTGAAATTAATGGAATAAGGATTTTGCAAAATTAGAAACTTAAACTATTTGTTTTGGTGACGTCACACATTTTTTTACCCCCTCCCCCGTCACAAATTCTCGCCCCCCCCTCCCTTTCTCCTAAGCGTGACGTAATTTACGAACGACTCCATTTTTTTACATTTTTTCTCTGACCATCTGATATGAATTGAAATGTTAGATCGCTTCCCCATCCCAGCAGTGATGTCCTTGGACAACATCGTATACCGTACATATAATGTATGTATCTCTTACTGGCCTCGTCAGACACAACAACGAGGCGGTGACTTTGTCACGTGAACCCGCCCAATTTTAAACACGCCTGGTGGGCTGCTGTGCTAGTTGACCTCAAACGTTTTGACATTTTTGTTCATTAGCCAATCATTGTCCCTTGTGTTTTCCAACACATTTATGCATGGGCGCCCGCAGAAAACTTTCTAGGGGGGGGGGGCAAAATTTTTTTTCGTAATGTTTTAATATAGTTTTAATTGACTGTAGCGTATTTGTATGGTGAACGAACGGACAGGACATCAGCTTAGTTACTTTCTCTTTATTTTAATACATTTTTTGTCTATTTTTTGTCTACAAATTTTTTATCCAATCAATCCAGGGGTGGGGGGTGGGGGGCAAGTGCCCCACCTTGCCCCTACCTGCGGTCGCCCATGCATTTATATATTCACAAGTTTTTCATCCGCTTGGGGAATTCAGAAAAAAAAAGGGAAGTGAGTGAAACAAAGTATGGGAAAACCTGAAAAAAACAACAACAAAACAACAATGAACGCACCAAAATGTGACGGCTTCACATGGGTTTGCGTAACACTGCTGTCTACATGATTAAAGGACTAGAAATAAGGGAAACAATCCTAACATTATTCCTCACCCAGCTCTTTTTAATTTTTTTTTTTTTCCAATTTAATCTGAAATGTAAATGAATGTCAAATGTCGGAGGCTAAATGTCAACTTCTCCCCAATAATCTTCAAATATTCCGCCCCCACCGCGGCCGGGGAAACATTGCTCTCAAGTACCGGGTAATTCAAGTCTATATTTTAAAATTTAAAGGAATTCTTATTCAGGTGGTATTTTTTTTTTTTTTTTGTAATACGCCTGCGGGTATTCCAAAAAAGTTAAAAATATCCATCGATCACTGACGACTCTCTGACTATGTCAGGGGAGAGAAGTGTGCCGCATTGGTCGCGGGTATATGAAACTAGGATTACCCAGGATGTTATAAGATCGATCATACATCATTCATTGGCTGATTCCAACATGGTGATGTTTTCTCTGGACACATACGGTAAACCTAGTGACTTTGGTTAAAATTCTGTGTATATAGTGTAGGTATATTATAATCACCGTCTTATCTTAGGGGACAAAGTGTACCAAGTTAAAGGATACA